AGAGACGTGTTTGATAGCTTGCATATCATTTAAGGATCTTGGGAAAGTATGCCTGGATTTACACTACTGCCTTGTTGTCATTACTGTGGTTGTTAAAATTCCAAAATTATTATCATGCTATCCATTCAAGCCGATGATATAAATTTGCCTCACATAAAACTTAGATGCATTTGAGGCACCATATATCTAGTTGTTTTAATATGCTGTACATGCCATGACACTGAGGTAATCAGACCTTTGGTACTGTACATAACTCATCTTTTTAATCCACAAAGTGCTTTTGTTATATTAACTAAAAATTCAAGATTATTTTGTATCAATGCCAGTATTGAACTATCTCTGGGAAAAATTAATTACATGGATTTATTTCTTCATTTTCAGTAATTCTTTTTTTTGAAATAGTTCAAGAGAAGTATACACATCATTCTATTGAATGATGGAATTGAAAGGAACCTAAAAGAACTCACCTAATGGAATGATGATCCCCACATTTCAGCAATCAACAGTGATCCCACCTCCAACAAACTAGGAAAACACATCCTTGGGAGTAGATGAACTTCTTTTATGTATCAAATCACAGTTGGAGCCAAAACAACATGCTCACTCTATCCCTTTGACTTTTAGTTTTATAGTCCTTTCTGTACTTTGGGACCGATTACTCAAAGTCCTTGTTCTCCATGTTACACCCACACCCTGGGTCAGGATACAAATAAGATCATCTTCAGTATATGGGAAAAAAAGTTCTCACAGATCACTGACTTGGAAAACATGTCTGGCACATAGCAACCTGCATGCCCTTGTTGTGATTGCTCTACTCTTATTCCATTTTCAACTGTATTTTAGAAGTAAAATAGAAAACAATTTAAAGGAAGCCATTTTCACACGGGAGGGAGGAACAGAGAGATAGGAATTGCTTGCCTCTGAAAAGGATCAAGTATTTAGAACATTTTTAAAAAGTCTTCTTTATCTGATGCATCACTACTATCAAGACAGTTAAGATAAAATATTACAGTGGAATCTAGATTCATTCTGTCCTTGGGAGAATACAAGTTGCTTTTATAAAGAATACACTGGTTATAGCAGTCGGAGTGGGGCCTAAATCTCAATGAATTTTCAGAGCCTTCTTTAAGAAAAACAATGTATATAGTGCAACGATTTTAGAAAGTAGTTTGTAACTTAAAAGTTTTGACAAATATTAAATTAACAAATGTAGTATTTGTATCAAATATATTTTGTACACACAATGAAGCTCAATTCTTCCCTGCCTCCCTACCTTTTTTCCTCCCTCCTTTTTCTTTCCTTTCACCTTTCTCTTTATCTTTTTTCCTTTTGTCTTTCCCTCCTTTGCCTTTGCCTTTTCACCCTTGATCACTGTATCAAAATTCCACCCAAAGCTAAATGTAATATCACCTAAAATTAAGATTAAAAAAATTCATCAGGAAAGGTAAGGGGAAGCATAATTACTTCTGTGTATGAGAAAGAAATGCCTCACTAGTAAGGAGAATGGCTTGGAGAAAATAGCCATTGGAAGTAGAAAACTATTAAGACTACTGAAACAGTCCAGTTGGCTCATTGATAGAGCCTTTCTCTAGCATTCATGATAACATGGGTTTGATTCCCAGCACTGCCAAAACAAGCAAAATGAATTCAGTTAAAATCTAATAAAAGCATGGTTTTTAGTACACTGTGACATGTGAACTGGCCAACCAGGTAAATGTCATTGTCCAGTGGTTCTAATATGAATCACTGCATAAGCAAAAGATACAAGAACGGCATAGAAGTAAAATAATTCTTTTTAAACTCTTTTGTCATGTATGAGGAAGTTTTGAGAATGCTCGTTTTCTGTTCTTTAGCTTATGTAGCTAAAATGCTTGAAGAATGACATTAGGACATCTTTTGAAATGTGTCTGCTTTTAGATGTAAGCTAAATATCAGATAAGTCAAGTAGGATAAAGCTTTCTCAGCATGCTGTGATGAATCAGAAAGAATGGATCAGTGGCAGACCTGAAACACTCTCACAAAATATCCCCTGTCATATATTCATGACTTCTTATCTCCTCTGAGGGCCTGTGCCACCAGTTCAAAAGTATGCTTCACTGTGAAGCCATTAGTTCAACACACTCACAGGTGTGTACAGTTATCCAGTGGCAGGAACAATGAATAGCCTCATCCAGTGCTCTGGTAGTATACACAAAGGTAGATAGTAAGTTAACAGGCTAACACAACTCTAAAATGGAAATAAAGAAATACGGCACAGTAGCTATTTCTAAAGTCTGTATCTGTTTTCATAAAAAAAAATGCATGTGTTTCTCTTCCATAAAAAGGAAAAAGAAGACAGAATAGCCACATCACATTTTTAAGCTCTTCCTCTACCCCTCGATAATCTGTAAACCACTGATGTAAGGTGAAACCTTTAGGTAACATTGTTACCATGGTACTGAGGGATCTTCATTCTGTTGCACTGATGACTCCTAATTTCCAAATCCAGCATGCTTTTTTTGAGTCCTCATTATTCTTGATTTCCCTTAGCACTTGGCCTTTTGAAAAGATCTTCATTGTCTTGTAACCCTTCAATGCCTTAGTTTTCTGCCTCCTTCCTTGATGTTTCCTTCCCCTACCTTTATCTCCTCCAATTGACCTTTTCCCCCTGGTGTGAATATTTTCCAAAGGTCTGTTCTGTACTTTTTTTTAATGCATTGTCTTCTTTGGTTCTCTTCCAAATCGATTACTGACTCTTCTTTGCTGAACAGCCTCCTGGAGGTGGGGTCATGCTCTATCTTGTTGCTCTACATTGCTCAGATCATCTCTTCCTAAAAAAGAAAAATCATCCCTTTTCCTATAACTTCTACTTGCTTTCTGGATTTCAGTCTTTTAGGACATCTTTCCTTATGAAGATACCTTGGTGACAGTCTCCTCTATCCCCACATTATGTCACTCATTGTTGCATGTGGAGGTGAATCCACGTATAGGCCCAGACTGGTAGCATCATCATCATCAGCTGGGGGCATTTTTGAAGTGTCAATTCTGAGGCCCACCTGTCAGATCAGCTGAATTAGAATCTCCAGGGATGTGGCTTAGGGATTTGTATCTTAACTAGCACTCTGAACTGTTCTGAAACAGACTGAAGTCAGAAGTCATGTTGTCAGAAGTATGTTGTCATTGCTGTGGATGAACAAATGCATAACAAAGAAACAGCATTTATTAAAAGGATTTCTAGTTGTACATTTTTATGTCAGGAATTGTATTTTGCATGCAGATCAAAGAATCACTTTCAAGTTAATATCACAGCTGATACCTAATAGCCTTTATCAACTTAGTCTCTACAACACAGCCTTATTTTTAAACTCACTGACCTGCCTTACTTCTAACAATACTGTAATCATTCTCAATATTATTCATGGACAAATTTATTAATCATATTCCCTTGAAGAGTAATTTATTCTGAGATACAACTAAAATGTGTCCACCTCAGATAATCTGAAAATTTATAAGAAAAAAATATGGTAAAATACATGAAATTCTACCACCAAGAAAGAACCACAAAGTGTTGCATGTGTTTTTCCTAGTATGTTGGCATGCATTTTCCCTATAAAAATGCCATGAAATGAAGTACAATGTTCTGTTCCCATGTTGTCAATTTATTCTCTTGCTCTTAAATACTGTTTCCTACATCTTTGTCAATGATTCCATCATATTTCTGGTAATCATCTCTGCCCTATCCACATCTTTTTAAATTTAATTTTATTGTGAAGGTCATGTACAGAGAGGTTACCTTTACATAAGTAGAGCGGCAATGAGTACATTTCTTGTCAAACAGTGTTAGCCACTCCCTCATTTTCTCCCACGTTCCCTTCCCCCAACAGATCTTCTCTTAACCCGTTGAGAGTTCTATGAAGTCATTTTCATTACCTCTACATCACAGTTCAGACACTTGTGTGTTCTTATAACCTCTTGTAGGAGCCTCGTAGGTTTGCTTGGAAATTAATTTTTCTGAAGTGTAGCTCTGAGAAAATTGACCGAAAGTCAATGCAACCCTCCAGTTACCTTCCCAATCAGGCTGCCATCCCGAGTAAGCCGAGTACACATGCTGTTGCTGTCTGAGGATCTGGATGACACTGTGAACACATGCATAGTAAATGAACAGCATGTGTGACGATGACCTACTATTTATTCTTACAGAATTTTCTACTTTATCTTCCCTTGACTCTTTCAACTGTAATCTTAGCTCCATGAAGATGGTAGGTTTACTTGTGTCTCCATTATTGCTATATTGCTAAAACCTAGAACAGTACTGGATATATATGAGATACTTGGCATGAATTTGAAATATGCAACAAACTCCTTTATGAATACCTTCTTGTGAAATATTTATAAATTCTCAAGCCAATCAAAGTCATACTTTAGTGATTTCCCAATGTGAACCCCCAATTCTGGTTAAAATGTCACTTCTCTGAATCCATGCCTTAGCACCCCTCTTGACCTTGTTGTGTGAGTTATCATGTTCCTGTAATTCCAGCAACTCAGGTGTGGTGGCCTGAGGTTCCATTTGAAAAACAACTAAAGCACAAAAAGGCTGGAGACATGGCTCAAGTGGTAGAATGCTTGCTTAAGAAAGTACAAGTTCTTCAGTTTAAAATCAGAGTACCCCCCCACCCCAAACAAGCAAACAACTCTTGACTACTATTTGCTTTTATGGCATTTATTGTATAAGGAATTAAGTTATGTCATGCACTTTCTACTGAAATCTTCAAACACAAGTTTTTATGAAATCTTATGAGCTCCCTAAGAAACAGGTACTAATTATCATCATATTTTCTGTGATCCTTTAACAAAAATACTTAATAAATTGTTTTAATAGTACAGGAAGTATAATAAAAAGCAAAGGGAGAAAATATCCATACACACATTTTACCATTCACTCTGTGGTTTAAAATAAAGAACACATTCCATTTGCACAATTTTTGAAGAAGTCATGGCGTGAACTCTTTATACCTTTTCAGATTATTAATGCTGCACTTGCTTTGGCTGCAAGACCCAAAAGTCAAGTAGTCAAAAACACCATGGAAATGTACAAGCGCACCTGGGAAAATTACATACATGTTCTCACTGAAGCTGTAGATGACATTACAAGCATTGATGACTTCCTTGCTGTATCTGGTATGTCCTTCATCTTTTTTTTTTTTTTTTAAAAAACTTGTTTCCGCATGTAATATTGTTGAATTTGTAAAGCAGGTAATGCTGAATGTAATTAAGTTTAAGTCAAAGAAGGAGACTTTTGTTTAAAAGACCTCTATAGAAGTGCATGTCTATGTAGTGGCTGAGTGCCTATCAGCAATAGCCCCTCTGGGATGAGGAACCTCAGTGCCTGTCTTCACAAGTAAACAATGTATACAAGGTCGTAATCCAGAGTCCCATTCAAGGACTTATTCACAGTCAAAGCAATACAAAAGATGGGAGCTGGAAACCTTAAGCCTTCTTCAAACTTGCACTTTAGAGCACTGATCCCAACCATTCCACATTACTACTGAAAATAGGAAGGAAAGGTGTCTCAAAGATTTAACTTATCAAGGGAAAAAACCTTCCTCCTGTCTTCTAACAGAGCTCCTCTTTCACATCAGAATTTGGTGCCTTACCCACTCAGGAACTAATGATTGGCAAATGCAAATAGAATTTCCATGATGAATATAGAGATTGAGTGGAAATGATTAACTGATTGACTGGGGACCAGAGGAAGTCATTGCCCTAGTATGTTGTACTTGTTGATTTCTATGTCAACAATACTCCATCAAGGGAGGTTTGAGGCCACTGATATGAAGCCACTGAACTCTCAGTTGGGAAAAAAAATGGATAGAATAAGCCCTCACGAACTGATTTGAATGGGACCTAGAGAAACATTAGACATAAATCAGCCACTAATGCAATCTTTACAACTAGTGCTCGCTACACAAAATCATTTATATGAGCATAAAGCGGAAGCCATGGTTGTTGAAGAGACAACCGAACATGTCTACCCAACACACTGAGCAGCATACACTGCTGGCTCATTTCTGTGCCTTCATAAACCTACCTGGCATTAGTTTAGCCTGCCTCCTCCCCCAACGCCTCACACTTATTCGTCTTGTTATAATTCTTCAACACCTTCTTCCACTGGTGATGACATCTCTTCACAAAATTTCCCCAAATAGATGAGAAAGAACCTAGCTAGCCCCACACATGGTTTTAGTACTGGATTCAGAACCCTCATCTGAAGATTATAGGATAAGCAACAAGAGTTCCATGTTTTCAGGTTTCTAATCATGGTCTGAATCACTATGGAGCTGCCAAATTGTAAGTGGGGCAGACGAAGCTGCAGATGTTTCTAAGCGCAAATGATATGTCTGATTTCTTTTAGGATGATCTTCAGAGTAAAATGCCCTTTGTATTCATCTGTTTGTCAGGTGAATGAACGTAGTTCATAGAGGGTAGCATTAACTATAGAAAATTAAAACAATGAAATTTTTTGTAAAAATTTCACCCTGTAAATGAGCTTTCTTTCCAGTAGTCAAGAATAATGTTCATTATTAGATTTAAAAAAAAAAATCCTAAGCCCTCAAATAGTATCCATCTTATCCAAAATGAGTTGTGAAAACTGGTGATTTCTTAGAGCACTAGTTTTCCTTTTAAAATAGAAAAGTAATTTAATTGTCAGATTACTATGGGAAAGATTTTTCCAGACTTTATTGTTTTATTGTGGTTAACATAGGTAAAAAAAATCATCTGGTTGAAGTCTTTGCTTGTAATTTTGTTTTAAATTGATGAAATGGTCCAATATTGATGACAGGCTCTTGAAATAAGGATTACTCTAATGTCAAATGTGTTCTACTAATCTGTTGCAATTCTAAACATAGATCTGTTGTTGGATGGTTTTAAAATTATTTTATACCATTACTAAAAGTCTCATGAGACAAGATGCCTACTTTTGGAAATCATATTTGGGTATTTTGTTTCATGCTCTACATAGAAAATGCCAAACCTATATAAAATCAATCCTTTCTTGAAAAATATAAGAAGTATAGACAACATACCTTATGTATTATGAAGTATAAAATTTTAAATGTAAAATAAAATTCAACAATGAGCTAAAGCTCTTCAGCTGAAGACTATGCTCTATCACTTGAACCAAAGGGCCACTTCCCGTTTTCTGTTCGTTAATTGGTGATAAGAATCTCACAATCCCTTTTGGCAACTTGGGAAAAATTATATTAAGTAGGCCAGGCCTAAAGAAACATAGGTCCCATGGTTTCTCTTACTTGCAATAACAGTATATGCCTGGGACAAGCAGAAAAGGTCAAAAGCTATGTACATATGGCCAGATAAGGTGATGTTAAGCGAAATGAATCCCAGATGGGGACACAAGGGGATTTTTCTTTTTTGCTATTGTTTCTAACATATTTATAATGTACTATGCGATTTTTTGTTGCTGTTGCTTTGTATGTTTCTCCCCCACAGTATAACCCCTGTTTTCAATGTCGGTCTAATTTTGGGAGAGGAAGGGAAAAAAAGAAAATGTTTAAATGTGGATACAGGTTGACCCATTGTAACAATGAGATGTGCAAGACATTGTTGTACATTGAACTTTACAATTTAGGCGGGGGTGGGGAGGAGTGTAGTTGTAGAAGTGGGAAGGAAGGGATGGTAGAGGAAAAACAAAGGAGAAGGCAACAATGCTTGATAAGAAATGTACTTATTACCTTGCTCATGTAACTGTAACACCTCTGTACAGTATTTTCACAATAAAAAACTTATTAAAAAAACCACACACACACACACACACACACACACACACACACACACACACACACACACACACACACACACACACACACACCTCATGGTCTTCTTGCCCAGACTGGCTTTACCCGAAGTCCTCAGATCTCAAGTTCCTGAGTAGCTAGGATTATAGCCACTAGTGCCCAGTGCTAAAACGTTACTATTAAAAGTAAGAAGTTATTTGGAAATTTAGGTTCAGTTGTCTATCTTCTTAAAAGTAGTTGGAAAAACTCTTCCAAATGTATTTTCCCTAAATGTTTTCCGACCCATGTTGATTCTGTTTCTCCCCACATTATTCACTCTGCCCTTTATTATTTTCTGAAAAGATATATTAAAAATATACCTTGGGGAAAAAATACACCTTAGAACCTGTTCTGTTTATAAACAGAAATGAAACAAGATGAACTTTAAGAAACTGCTAACAACCATTCATAGTGCCTGAAATCCCTAATGTTCTTTGTCCATATAGGAATATATTAAAATATAAGATCTATGTTTAAGATACAAATGTACACAGGAAAATAATATATGTGTCAACTTTTTGAAATATTATGTGAATTGACTCCTAGTGAGCTATAAAATTTGATGGAGGGAAGGATTGATTTGGACCAGGAGAACTATTAAAAAAGCTAACAACTGATTAAATATGTGAATTTATATAGGTGCAAACTTTCTTTCAATCCATCTATTCATTGAATACTTACTGTAAATTTGTAAGTGCTATACACTATGAAAGCTCTGGAGATTGAACCCTGAGTAAATTCTAGTGGAGTAGACAGGTTTTAACACAGTGGAGAGAACGGCAGTGTTGGGTAGATGAGATCACACAAGAAATGAAGGAAGCCACTGAGCATTCTGAAGCAGAACCCTAATGATTAGAGTTAGCACTGCTGTTTCATTATTGTCAAAAATACTCCTGAAAATAACATCATATTGACTTAATGAATTACAGTATTGAAAGGTTCCTATAGAATCTTCTACTCCATATTCTGAATTTCCCAACCTCCCCATTCCATCTTTTCCCTTACATGCCCTTGAATCTTCCTAATTGAACATACTGCTTCCATAATGTTTTCTCAGGCTTTTGGTATGTGTTTGTTAAATAAATACTGGTATTTATTATCCCTTTTAAATTCTGTGTTAGCTATTTTTCACAGTTTATGTCTTATGCTTTCACAAAATGTGTAGAGCCTTGGAATTTATATTTTTAAAAAGTCTTTAAGTTATGCAAAATAGAACCTGCTATATTAATCATTACTGTGCTCTCTGACTCTGACATAGGAACACAAAGATAACTCTGCTGCTATCAGAAGTATACCACAAGGGAAACTTTGTGGTTGAAACCATCATGCACATGACCATTGCTTTCTACAAAAGTGCAATCTAAAGCATTTGAGGAAGAGAAATTAAAATGAATCTTCAATATGCCTTCATTATAATGCTAACATTATAATGTTAGCATTATAATGATACATTAATTACCTACAGAAGAAGTACTCGTGAATATCAACATCATATTAGTATAATAGTAGTTGGAACAAATAATGACAAACATATTATTTATCTACACGGGACGAACTACAATTATAACAAAGTACCTATTACAAATCAATGCGTGTATACATTGTTTTTAGCCTACAGGGAAGTAAATTTTTCATTGATTAAGGACATCAAGCTATGAAGTGTGGCAATATAGATATATCCTTTTAAATGAGGTTTTTTAATCCTGTCCTACAGAATGGATTTTGATCAAAGAGAGTTGAGCATTTACTATGTACAAAAGAATAAGTATTCTTCTTATAGAAGAAAGAAGGATATTTAGACAAGGAAAAATGCAATATTTTCTATAGAAGAATTCACAAGTTAATTACAATATCTATACAAAGAAAATACTGTTCAATTAATGTTGGTGCAGAATCAAGGCACTAAGGGGAGTTATTTTTTTCAAATAAAGCTTTTTAACTGGGTTGTTTAACTAAGCCTTGAAGAAAATTGGAAAACCATTCTACAAGGTAAGAAAAACTTACAAAAGTGCCTGTAAGTTTGAGAGTCAGCAAGTTGGCCAGTATGATACATACCTATCAGGGGTCTGTGTCTTCAGATCTGTGTACTTCTACTGGACAAAGAAAACCATATAAACTTTAAATAGCAGCATCATAGACTTTATCAGGTTTTAAAACACTACAAGTTGTCATGTCGAAAATGAACTTTACAACTTTGGTGGCGGGGGAGAATTGGGTCGGGGGATGGGGGGAGGCTGGGAAGGGATGTGAAAGGTAACCAAAGGAGGAGGCTGCAATGCTTGATAAGAAATGTACTCATTATCTTGCCCATGTAATTGTAACCTC